GTCTAGAACTGGCTGGAGTAGAGGGAAACTTTTTCTAAGGCAGAGCCTATCCTCTAGCCCATTTCCTGAAAAGATCACTTTGAGGGAAGTTTGAGCATTTGCACAAGGACCTCCCTCCTTTCTCAGAAGAAAGTCTCTTCTGCAAGAATGAAAATGCAGGACCAGAAGAAGCCTGATCTAAGGCGTGGCCAGCTGGCTGTGATCTGGCCACTCACTGGCTGGGAGTGATGAGAGTGGTATCTGGAAAGAGCTGCCCCAGTGACTTCCTGCTGGGGGCTCTTGCCCTCTTTGGATGCGATTTCTTTTTGGCAGTATGATGAAGCCTGTAACCACGTCTCAGAATGTTTTTAAACACATAAAATAACACAGAATTATAGCAGACACCAATATAATGAAAATATTGCCATGAAAATATTAGAAAACAAGTTTGTAACAGAATACTTTTGTTTAAAAATGCATTAAATAGCAAGATCTGGCATCAGATCTAAAAGTAGTGAGAGTGTAAATGATATTTCAGTGCCAAGTGGTAGAGGTGCAGACCCCAAACAGGAAGCCTTTGTGGTCCTATGTGGCGACCAGGGCCAGTAGGAATGTCTAACCGTGGGGTTCAGCGTTAAGATCTCTTTTGCCCCACACCACTCCGGCCATTCCCTCTGGAGGCTGAGACTCTGACTCACCCAGGTGATCCATGCACTGTATTACGGGGAGACCGTAGAAGATATGGGACCGGGACGCCGCAGAGGGAGCATGCCCTCCTCCCTGCAGCCGGGCCTCCGTCGTCTGACACATTTCTGCACTCCCAGAGGCGGTGATTGCCAGTATTCTTTGTTGGAAAGGGATTACAGCCAGGGAATTAAACTTCTCGAAAGCGACCACAGAGTGTTGATGTATAGAATTATTATTTAGCAAAGTAATCCCCAAAACACTATGAAGTTCTTCTCGGTGCTAGTACTGTGCTGAGCGTTGGGGATCCAGGGAGGAGGCAGAGCCCCTGCCCTGTAAGCTGGGCTGGTTGCAGGTGGGTAAACAGATCTGGGAGAGACAGCGCAACAAGGGTGGGGGATGCACGGGGCTGGGTGAGGGCATCGCTTTCCAGAGGCTCTCAGAGGGGTGACTGGGGCAGAGAACTCTCACAAGTGAACCAGGAGTGGGGGAAGAATGCAGAATGTGAGAGAGAAGCCGGGGGATTTTCTCCAGGAGGCTGGAGGGGTGGCCTTGGGTGGGAGCAAGGACATGTCCTCTCTTAGGCACAAGGCAAGGACACAGGCCTTCTGAGCTTCTTGGTCAGAAAGCCTCAAAAGCCACTCATGATTTTGACCTCTGCCCCGTCCCCCGCTTCCCCCTCACTGTCCTCAGCCCCTGAGGCCTGCACGTGTGGCCCCTCCCCTCTGCCTCCTAACACCCGTGGGTGCTGCAGGGATGTTCTTGCTCTCGTCAGGGCCCAGAAGAGCAGCCTCAGCCTCAGCCTTTCCACCTGACGCTGCTTCCTCCTGTGTTCATGTCCTAGCCGTCTGAGCCCCATCAGGGCAGGTTAATACAAGGAATTATTATTATTATTATTAATCATCGTTGTTGTTGTTTTGAGTCCTGGTCTCGCTTTGTCGCTCAGGCTGGAGTAAAGTGGCACAATCACGGCTCCCTACAACCTTGATCCTGAGCTTAGGCCTGTAATTCCAGCGCTTTGGGAGGCGGAGGTGAGAGGAATGCCTGAGCCCAAGGGTTTGGGACCAGTCCGGGCAACTTGGTGAGAACTTGTCTCTACAATAAATGAAAAAATTAGCCAGGTGTGGTGGTGTGGTTCCAGCTACTTGGAAGGCTGAAGCAGGAGGATCACCTGAGCCCAGGGGGTAGAGATGGCGGTGGCCATGGTGATGCCACTGCACTCTAGCCTGAGCGACAAAGTGAGACTCCGATTTAAACCAACCCCACCCCCACCCCCACCCCCCACGCTCCCCAACCCCCGTCAAAAAAAAGCCCCAGGCCCTTGCCTTCTACTTCCTGTCCCCATGCCTGTTCCTGACGTTTCCCATAGATGGCAACACAAGCTGCAAGCTGGCTTCTCTCCTGGGCATTTTTCCCAAGCACCCCCCCACCCATGGCACAGCAGGAACAGCGCTCTTTGGTTCTTCTGCTGAACTCACTGATCTCTTCGCTGCCAACCGTGCAGAGCGTGGCCTACCGCGAAGCTGGCTGGGGACAGCGATTAGCCCACCTACGCCCCCAACCCACGTCCCATTTGCACCCACCTACGCCCACCTGCCAGTTTTCTGAGCTGAGCACCCTCCGCCAAGGCCCGCCAACTCACCCCGGACGCGCCTCTCTGCTGCCGCTCCTTTGGCCATTGAGGGAACTGCACCTGCCCGCAGTCCTCGCAGGCCGAGGGGCCCCTCCTGTGCGCGTCCCTGCCGGCTTGCCCCGCGCGCGTCTTGCGCCACTGCCGCTTCAGGGAGCCGCAGCCGGCAGGGAGAAATGGAGGTCCTGCCCACGCCCACTTGCCAGGCCTCAGGGTGAAGGTGGGGGTACGAGGCTGTGACCGAGACACCCGCTGCGCCCATGGACCAGGCAGGCTCATGTTGTTGACACCAGCCCAGCCGGCCCGAACATGCCATCACGTGCTGCAGGCCCCACAAGGATCACTGAGGCCTTGCACAGGGTGGCTCCGGGTTAGGGGCAGGAAAACGCAGTGTAAACGCCAATGCAGTCACCCTGAGCTGGTGTGGAGCACACACAGGAGAGACAACTGGGGACTGCACTCAGCTCTGGCCGGGAAACATTGCAGGGGCGGGGAGGGGGACGACAGCTTGGGAAGCCTGCTTGGAGGAGGCAGCTTTTAGTCATAGGCCTGAGGGTGAGGGGACACCAGGTGGGAGACAGACGGGGCAGGCAGAGGCACTGCAGGGGTGGGGGGTAATGTAAGGCTTGGGGTGGGGCAGGGTTTGGGCTTTGTGACTCAGAAAGACTTTAGCTGTGAGGCATAACATTTGTGCTTTATAAGTCACTTGGGTCGCTGAATGGAGGGTGGATTTTGGGGCCCCAAAGCAGAGTTGAGAGACTGAGAGGCTGGTGAGGAGATGACTGTCCTTCACTGAAGGCTTCTGGCATAGGCCAGGGACACCAGGGATGGATGCACCGTCACCCCTGGGTGGGAAGTCACGCGACATCCCTCAGTGGCAGGATCCTGACTCAGCCGTGCATGCAGAGAGGGCCTCAGGCCAGTCTGTCCCCATGTCCTCTGAGACCTAGTTTCCGAAGCCCCACTCTCCTTGGAGTCGGTGGTTGTCGGTTGTGGCTTTTGTCCAGCCTTCCCCTTTCCCCAGCTCTGGACACAGCAGAGCCTACAGGACCTGTGACCTGGTCCTGAACGGGACCTCTCAGGTTCCAGAGCTTGCCTCCGTCGTCTTTCCTCCTTATGGGGAGCAACTCGCAGCCTTTGGGCTTCGTGCATATTTGGGCCTCCCTGACTCTAAATTCAGGGGAAGATTTCTCATATATTTGTTGATGAAAGATACCAGACTCCATAAAATATTTTAAGATGGTATATTTTGGCCAAATGTGAGTGAACAGGCCTGGGGCACAGCCCCAAGCAGTCTTGAGAGCATGTGTAATGGCTCGCACAGTCTTCAACTCCTGGGCTCAAGTAATCCTCTTGTGTCAGTCTAAGGAGTCATTGGGACTACAGACACACACCACCAAGCCCAGCTAATTTTTTTTTTTTTTTTTTGTAGAGATGAGGGTCTTGCTATGTTGCTCAGACTGGTCTTGAACTCCTGAGTTCAAGTGATCCTTCCACCTTGGCCTCCCAAAGTGCTAGGACTACAGGGTTAAGCTACCATGCCTGGTCACTTTTTTTTTTAAATTATTGAGTCTTGAGAGTTCTTCATAGATTATATAGAGTTCATAGATAGAGGACTTAAGTCCTCTATCAGATGTGTGTTTTGTAAATATTTTCCTAGGAAGGCTTTTACTGCACCCCATCCAGTGAGTCTGGGTGAACTTGGCAGGGATGCCACTGAGAGCCGGTATCTCCTGAAACCCAGCAGGAGCACAGGCAGACACCGTCCCTCCCCTCCCTCCCTGCTGGGGGCTGAAAGTCCTTCTCTGTCTCTTCCTCCACTTTTGGGACCAGTGGTGTTGGTCTCCCCAGCAGGACCCCAGCCCCATAGAGGATCTGGTATTGTGCCCCACCCAAGGCCATGTGCCATTCCTTGCTCAGTATCCTTGGGTGTTCTGTGTGTACAGAGAGAGGTCATCTGAGGGGCCTTCCTGGGCTCTAGGCTGCACCCATCCGGGTGCCTCCCTGGCGCCATCCCCACTCTTTCTCTTATGCAACCAGCGATAAGATGGTTTCCGGTGTCATAGTTCTCCCCAAGTGCCAGCCCAGCCCATCCTGGCCCAGGTGACTAGTTCTCGGCTGGTTGGGGCGAGGAGTGGGGAAGGAGGGGTGGGTATGAGTAAGGGGTGCCCAGGCCTCTCTCAAGCTGTGCAGGCACAGGCACGGCCCTGGATGAGGTCCAGAAGCCTGGCCAGTGCAACCACATCTGCATGTTGGGAATGGGGAAAGGGTGACAGATCCTGGGTGGGGCTGTGAACTCCAGCCTGGCTGCTTCTCAGCAGTTCTTAAGGACCCTGGCCAAATCCCAGCCAGGCAGGAGGGTGGACAGAGGGATTTGAGGTATGAGTCCAGCCAGCAAGAATGAGATCTGGGCGCTGGTCCAGCTGGAACCCACCTCCCAACTGAGGTGACGTTCCTGGCAGGCTTTGGGGACAAATCCTCAGCCCTGCATCAGGGCGAGACTGGCTGTCTGGAGCCCTCCAGGAAATGGCAGCAGAGTTGGGGGACACTCAAGTGATTGTTTCAAACAATGGACAAGAGGCTGAAGTTTTCTGAGCTGAGCACCTTCCGCCCAGGATCAGGTGCACCTAGTAATGGGCTGGACTATAAAGCCAGCCCCTGGGGCTGGGGACTCAGCACGGCAAGGGGGATCCAGGCAGGGGAAGGAATGCAGTGGTTCCTGCTGAGCCCCATCCTGGCCCTGCTCTGGGTGTCTGTGGCACAGGCCGAGGTCCTGGTACAGCCCGACTTTGATGCCAACAAGGTACGCGGGTGTCTGTGCTGTGCCTTGGGCAGGGATGGGGGCCCAGCCCTTGCCAGAAACAACAACAATGGTGGTAATAGTAACAGTGCCTTTTCTGGAGTGCCTGCCCTGGGCCTGGCACGTGTGGTAGATCCACTTTGCATTATACCCTGAAACAGCTCTGTGTGTGAGGTCACTGCTGGGCCCATTTCACAGCTGGGGAACTGAGGCTCACAGTGGCACCTGCCGAGGTGAGTTCTTGTCCACCCTAGCCTCCACCCAAAGACTGACACTCAGACCCCTCGCTGTGGGCTTCAGACAGGGCCCTGTCCTCTGGAATGTCCCCCTGGGTTCCTGGGCCAAGCAGGGTCCTGCCGGCTGCCCTGGTCACTGAGCTGCCCGGCAGTTCTCAGGCCTCTGGTATGTGGTCTCCATGGCGTCTGACTGTAAGGTCTTCCTGGGCAAGAAGGACCACCTGCGGATGTCCACCAGGACTATCACAGCCACTGCAGAGGGCGACCTCAGCGTTCACATGGAGTTCCCTGGGTGAGCTGCCTGTGTTGAGGGGTTACTGAGGGAGGCTGGGCAGTGAATAATGCCAGTTGTGTACCCCCAGGACGGAGGGCTGTTACCAGGTGGATGCCGAGTACCTGAAGGTGGGCTCCGAGGGCCACTTCAGAGTCCCAAGTAGGTCCTGCCCCACCTGCCTTCAGGGGCGCTGGACACCGCTTCTCCAGGGGTGACACGGGGCTGACTTTCCACCAGGGCCCCAGCTGCCCATCACCGCCTCCAGCCCTTCCCCCCTTCCCTCCCTTCCTCGCTTGGTTCACACCCCGGCAGCAGGAGAGGGCAGGCGTGGGTGGGGATCAGTGCACAGGCTCTGTCCACTTCTCCATGGACGTTGGCCTCATTCGCAGCCTTGGGCTACCTGGACGTGCGTGTTGTGGAGACTGACTACAGCTCCTTTGCCGTGGTCTATATCTACAAGGAGCTAGAGGGGGCCCTGAGCACCATGGTGCAGCTCTACAGTGAGTGCCCCCCTACCACCCACGGGCCACGCCCACCACCCACGGGGCCACGCTGTTCATGTCCACCATCCACTCGGCCCCTCATTCCCCCGCACACCAAACTGGTCAAGCCCATGAGCCATGGCCACGCCTACCATCCACAGCCCTGCCCACCATACCCACTGGCCCCGCCACCGACTGGGTCACGGCCGTCTTCCTACTGGGCCCTGTCCCTTCTCTCTACCCCTCTTGACCCCACCCACCATCCACCTTTCAGGCCCAATGCTTAGGTCCCACCCACCTTCGCCCATGCTCTTCTTATGGTCCCACCCCTTCGGGAGCTCCCCATCCCAGACCTCGTCACACACTTCCAAGTCTGGACCTGACAAAGACCAGGTGGGGATGGGGTTGGACCTCGCAGTGCTTTGACCGTGGAAGGGGGCTGGCTGGAAGAGTCCCTAAGGACCAAACACTGCGCCCACAACACAGGCCCTCTCTGGCCTCTGAGAGAGGTGACTCAGCCTTCCTTACTCAGCCTGTGCTTCTGAACTGAAGCTGAGGTTCTTTCTTAACTTCTGGGGGTTCCTCAAGGTGGAGTGGTTGAGATGAGGGCTGGAGGCCGGGCACGGGCCTTCCGGGACCCAGGACAGCCAGGCCACTCCAACCTCCAGGACACTCCGTGTGGGTTGGGAAGGCACCCGCTGCTCCTTCAGACAGGCAGAGATTTCGTACAGTGCACACTCTGCGCAGCCCAGGTGGAGGACTTATTGTCAGCACTCAGGGGACAGGAGGTTGGGGCACCCGCCTCCATTCCCCTCTTGCCCATGCCACAGTCCCTGTGAAATACTGGGCTCACAGTGACCCCTGCTCTGCTCCAGGCCGGACCCAGGACGTCAGTCCCCAGGCTGTGAAAGCCTTCAAGGACTTCTACCCGACTGTGGGACTTCCCAACGACATGGTGGTCACGCTACCCAAAACAGGTACACTGGCTAAGCCCCGCCCTTGCCAAGCCCCGCCCCTGCTAAACCCTGCCTGCCCAGCCTACCAGGCCCCGCCTACCAACCCTGCCAAGCCCTGCCCACCAAGCTCCTTTCCAGCCAAAGCCCCTCCCTTTCCAAGCTCCTCCCACCAATCCTGCCAAGCCCCACCCACCAATCTGCCAAACTCAGACTTCCCAAGCCCCACCCACCAAACCCCAGCACCACCAAGTCCCACCCGTGAACCTCCCCTCCAGCGAAAGCCCTGCTCACCTACCCTTTAAGCCTTGCTTCACGCTCACCCCTTAAACCTGCCCTCCCCTCCCTAGGCCCAGAGTGTGCAGGCAGCAGGTGATCTTCTTTTTCGGGGTGGGCTGGCAGCCCCTCCAGGCTTTCCAGCCCCGCATCCTCTTCCTTCCCCCAACACAGTCTATGAGAGGCTTTGGGCAAAGCTGGAAGGGAGGGTCTTTCGGCCCCCCTCTGCGGTGAGGGGTGGGACGGCCTAGTGGCCCTGGGTATCTGAGGGTTGCAGGAAGGGAAGGCAGTCCTGGTCTGGTCAGCATCTCACAGACGTCTTTTTTTATTTTTACAGATTCGTGTACCCGCAAAGGCAAAGAGGCACCCTGACACTTCAGAGTTCCACCCCAACCCTTTGCAGGTGGGGGCAGGGGATTCCTCCCTTGGGTTCTCCAGAGTCCGCATGGGCTGCCCTGGCAGCCTCTCCCCTCCCTCTGATGTAGCTCCCCACCCCCACCCCACTTTTCTGCTTCCTGACTCGCATGGTTCAGGCCTCAGCTTAGGTATCACCCCTCCAGGGAAGCCTCCCCCGATTTCCTAGGGCCGCCATAACATCATGGCTTTAAAAAACAGAAATGCATTCTCTCACAGTTCTGGAGGTCTTTGGGGTTAAGTCTATCTGGAAGTTCTAAAAAGGATCCACCCCAGGGCTCCCTCTGGCTTCTGGTGGTGCTGCAGTCCTTGACTTGCATCACCCCAGTCTCTGCCCCCACTGTCACGTGGCCACCCTCCTTCTATGTGTCTGTGTCCAAACCTTCCTCTTCTTAAAAGGACACCAGTCACTTGAGTTAGATCCACCCCAAATCCAGGATACTCTCATCTTGAGATCCTTACTAATAATCTCTCTCAGCTGGGCTCGGTGGCTCAGCCTGTAATCCCACGCTTTGGGAGGCTAAGGTGAGTGGATTGCCGCGGGTTCAAGACCTGCCTGGGCAACTTGGCGAGACCTCATCTCTACAATAAATCAAAAATCA